GCTCCGCGAAGCTGGCGTCGTCTAGACCGACTGCATCCATACTTAGTCTCCGACAGCTCTTGATTGATGTTCTCGTGACCTCTTCAAACTAATCGGCAGAACTTGAACAAGGTGAAAACAAAGGTGACAGGAATTTTGACTGCACGCAAGCTCAAAATCGAATCGAATTTTCACAACTCGTTTTGTGTTTCGCTCATTCCAACATTATCAAAATTCCCTCTTAGTACGGTTTACTCAGCCGATTACTCATTATAATATAAATTTTCACATCGTGCTGGTTGCAACAACACAGAAAGCCTCAAAACGGAAAGTGTTTTTCTGCAGTTCATTTTCTGATTGCTGGACAATTACTCCGAGTTCAATATTACTCTGTACCAAACTGCAGACGATGGCCAGCCTCTGGGCCGATGGGTCTTAAGTTGTTCCGGCCAACACGTTGGAGACATGTTACGCATCTTGTAAAAATTATGCAATTTGCTGATTCAATTTTGGTGATGACTCACGTCGATGCATGATCTTGGTGAAACTCTTTCAAACGTGCGATCCGGAGGGGCTGTTGCTAATCAGAGCTAAAAAACCAATTTTGAATATTTTCACGGCGCAGACGTGTCACGTTTCTTGAACAACCTGCGTGTCGGTCGAAACACTCATGTTCCGCTTGGCTAGGCTTGGAGCAATAAAAAGACGTGGGAAAATGGCCTGCTGGCATCAACGAGCTGCGAACACTACTTCCGATAGTGTACAGACCGTTTGCCATCATTCGCACAAATGGTCTCCACTCGCACATGAACGCTGGTGATACCTCCATGACGACATAAGAATTTTGGGATATAAGATTGTCCTTGGAGTTATCACAGACACCATTTCAGTTTTCATCCTTGGAGTAAAGTCTACTAACAGGTACAAGTTTGAGAGACTTGATAATCTTGGGGACATAATCTTGTCCTGCCGCCTAGTTTTGATGTAGATAGTAACGGTATCGTTTTTCGGCGTCTGGAGTTGGAAAGGCTTTTCACATTGCCTGGTATTGAGGTGAGTGCGTTTTGGGTTTCAGCCGTTTCATCATTCACGCAGTGTATTGTAGGTCAAGTATGATTCAAAGCAGGACAGATTTTCTTGTCTTTCCCGCGTAATGCCATCATTTTTGTATGTGTTTGCGGAGCGTTGTTGTGGTCTTTCCACGAAATCTACGTGGTCAGCTTGGATCTGTGTGCCCTGCAGATACATAAAAAACGAAAGGTTATTATAGTGCTGCATTGATCGAAGTTCCCAGATGCTATCGCTAGTATATCTCCGGACATCCGCGACCTCTTGGACAATGAAACGCGATCCTGAGCTTGTAACTTTGTCGATTTTACCCGATTATTTCTATCCGAACAAAGATACATTCGCACATGTGCTTCGTAGTATTCAAAGTACCGACTCAAATCACGATCAACAAGAAACAACTGTTCAATATGTGGTATTGGAGAGGCATGAGCTGTTTGAAAGAGCTGGACTCTAAGCTTATCATATCTGCCGGTAGCTAGAAAGGCGCTTCTATAACACAAAGGTTCACATCATCAATGAACCGGGGCAGGTGGATATCTCAGGCTGTGCCCAGTGTTTCCAAGCTGTGCTTGGTGCCAGTATGCTGAACCCATATAATCAGGACAAATTCTGTACTATTCGTGAAAGCATGTGGTTATGGCCTTTAATTAACGCATTCATTGTCTTAGCTACGGTTGCATTTTCAAATCATGCGCGGATTTCACATGAAGTGAGTAGATTTTGTTTAGTGAATTCAGTATGGTTCCCTCAAAGAATATTGCAGCAACACAAAAGAAAATAACGTTTACATGCCCTTGTCACCACCCTCTCTATAATTGCGTTGAAGAACACACCCAGCTGACAAAGCTTTGCTTGCGTCAGGCCAACTCCATTCCTGGCATAACAGGGTGGCAAATCCAACGTCTGTTTGGGGAAAATGATCAATTCCCTCTAGTCAGACATATCCGTGGGTGCTAAATCGGCACGTAAAACACATCGATATCCTTTAGCCACACTCGCTTGGTCAGGAGCCGACGCTGAAACCAGTACTGGACTTGATATCCATGTACGTAACGGTCGTACTGTTAACATCCGCCGCACTAGCCCGTATTATATGCGAACCAGAGCGGGTGTTGTTGCTTCAGTAGAGTAACATCTGGTCACGATCAGCGCCATTTCTGGTAATCTCAGTCTGTGTCTCCCAGACTTCAAACTAGTCGACACAAGCATACACATCCTTCTGAACCTTTCTCATGAGTAGCATAAGCAGAGAATGCTCGACGCCATGCTGATACAGTTTGTCTACTGACACGGGTTTGTAAGCATGGAATTTTCAACATCCCAGCACTGATCCTTTCCTTTCCTTTCGATCGCTCACGTCTGATGGCAAGCATTCACTTTTAGTGTTTACAAGAGATGATTTGCGAAACAGTGAGTGCTTTGTAGGGGTTGGGGATTGCGTACAACCTGTTGTTGGCAGATGCCCACGGAGCATGTGAAATATTGATGTGACCGGAACTAGTGACAAACGCTCCAGCTACTCTGCTGCACAGTACATAGGATTTATTCATGTGATGCCAATGCTATCACTGAAGTGCAATGCACAACATCGCTCCCGCGACACGATTGGCGACGCTCAATACGATCAGCTGCTTGTTGCAGCCTTGTCACAGGTCACAGGAGCCAAGTTCTGCGTTGGCAAAGCGCGATGTGCAATGCGTATCACTCCTTACATATCTGTGTGGCGGTAGGGGATTACGTTTGGCCTTTTGTTACCACATGCCCATGAAGCATGGGAAACAAGATTGATGTGACCGGAACTAGGGACAAATGCTCCAGCTACGCCACTACACAGTACATAGGATTGAATTGTATGCTGCTTTTATTGAAGCGTCACTCAAAACATCACTCCTGCAACGCGATTATCGGTTAGCAATACGATCTCCAGTTTGTCACAGGTCACATCAGGGAAAGTTGAGCGAATTACATTTCCTGCAACCATCAATGAGCAATGTCTTTCACTTCATACATACATACACGCCCGCGTCATGCAAGCTATCGTACGGTTTTCGACCATGGGTGCTGTGCTAGAATTCTCAGCGAAGTGCGGTCACATGTGGTTATTTACTCTTGGGGCTGTGCATACTACATGGGACACTCCTCGCGCAATAATTATGAATAAGACTTTCGTACCGCTAATTGCAATACTTGAAACTGCTCACCTCTGCAATTCGTTCTCCATCAACCACAAGTGGCGTTGGAGCAGTAGGGTTTGCACGAGCAGTACAGGTTCCATATGCATGATCTTGGTTTTGGACAGATTCAGTGACAGGCCCTTCTCTCTTCCAGCGTCATTAACAGCATTGGTGAGGGTAGACCCTTCTGATGGTTGTGCGCACAATCCCGTGTCATCTGCATATCGTAGGTTCGACAGCTGGCGTTCTCCGATTCTCATACTGATACTGTCCACATCAGCAACACGCATAACACTCTCAGTGTACAGGTTAAAATAGATATAGGGACAAAATACAGCCCTGCCGAACACCCTTCTTGATGGCGAACTCCGGAGAATGCGAGCTATTCCATCTGATAACTCCACTCATCCCTGTGTAAAGATTCTGGCGCAAACAAACTATCTGGCGAGGGAAACCAAAATACAAAAGGCAACCGAAAAGATGTGAGTGGTTAACTGTGTCAAAGGCTTCACGACAATCGACAAATACAATGGTATAGGATTCAGCCATTAAAGAGATTTTTCGATAATGATCTGCAGAACACAGAGCATATCAACAGTACTGCGACCAGCTCGAAGACCAGCCTGCTCGTCTGGTTACTCGACCTCTATCTTCTTTTTCATACGATTCAAGATTATTGTCAGAAGGATCTTGCTTGCATGTGACATCAAAGCAATGGTCCTATGGTTGAAACACTCCTTAGCTGATCCAGCTTCGGATAGCATGGCGATTTCTTGACGTTTCCATGCTTTTGGCCATCTGCCTGTTTTCCAAATCTACAAACAAAGTTTATGTAGAAATAGAACACAAACTGAGGATGCATGCTGAATCAGTTCCGCCACGATCCCATCAAGTCCAGGGGCTTTCCTCTTCTTCAGGGACAATATGGCTTGCTCAACCTCAGCCAAGAGAGGCCTAGGCTCAGGGGTAATCAGTGGCGGTTGAAGCTCTTCCGCACCACTCTCCGCCGAGGCCGAACACCCTTGATCTCCTGACGGCTGCCCAAATAGCTGCTGCCCATATTCACACCACCGCAGCAATACATCTTCCTTCTCCGTCAGGGTCGTGCCATCAGCAGCATTGATACGGATGCTTGATTTGGCCGGAACGATGATTTTGTAATGGATTTAATGGTGTTGAATACCTCTCGGACATCATGGTTCCTCCCAGAAGATTCAATGTGTTTCCATTTGTCCTCTAACCAATTTCTTCTGTCACAGCGAATCATTCAGCGCACTTCTAGTTTCAGATCATTGTATTCTTGGTCCTTACCGGTGCATCTGGCTAAACGCTTTCTTTCTGCCAGAGCTATCACCTCCTCACTGATCCAGGGTTTGGGAGGCTTGTTCCTTCCTCTGCGCCCAACTACTTCCTCTGCAGCCTCCGTAATTCCCGCTTGAATCTGATCCCACAATTCATAAGGTGTGCATTCCTCAGTGTACTGGTACTGAAGCAAGCTGAAACGATTCTCCGTCGCCACTGAATACTTTTCCTAGACGGCAGGATCCCGCAATCTCGTCACGTCGAACGGTCGCACAGCCATAGACTTGCAGCGAACCCTACGGAAATGCTGGGTGCGTAACTTCAATGTAACTAGATGGTGACCAGTGTCACATTCAGCGCCGGGGCGAGCTCTGGAATCCAGCACACTTGAGAACCACGACTTGCTGATCATGACAGTCGATCTGATTACGGGTGTGACCACCAGGAGATATCCATGTGTAGCGACTGCGCAGATTATGCCGAAAAGCTGTGTTGCGAACACAAGCCATTAATCCTACAGAACTCAGCCAGCATGGCCCAACGTTCATTGCGCTGTCCAAGGCCATAGTCCCCAACCTCGCTTTCAAAGTCTCTCCCAAATGCCAACTTGGCGTTGAAATCGCTCATGACTGCACATACCTGATGACTCTTCATGGCGTCAATGACAGCTTGCATTTTTCCTAAAAACCATCTATTTCCTCCGCCGAGCATGACGAGGTCGGCGCGTGCACTTGGATGATGGTAATAGGAACATGAGTCGCCTGTATGCGCACCACCAAGAGACGATTTGTTCTTCACCGCTGCGCTCAGAACGACAGCCACTCCGCCATATCCACCGTCTTGCGAGCCGCTTGAAATTACCAACTTGTCACCGATGGAGAAATGGCCTTCTCCGCTCCAACGCGTTTCGCACAGACCCAGAATATCCAGCTTGAGTCGTGCCATTTCCTTCAGCAAAAGATGTAGCTTGCCCAGCTCTCGCAGAGTTCGAACATTCCATGTCCCAAACTGATACGATCGTGAGTTTTCCGTCCCTTTTTTGGTTGGTTTCCTTGAACTTCTTTGCTGACCGTTTCGTGGACCGGCTCTCTCAAAACTTTCTTCATGAAACAAAAGGATCACCCGAGCACCGCTCGCCCACTACTCCACAAGAATAAAACACGCACAGTAGGTTGCCATTACTTTCTGTGCTACCGATGTGCACCAAGAGAGCGGAGCACCAAAAAATGCAACCGCTCTCCACCACCGTACATCACATTGTCAACGTACAGAGTGTAATAAGAAGACAAACCTGCATCAAAGGAAAACCAGGTTTTTTCACACCGGGCTAAAGCCGATTTCTGGTCTTGGTCAAATGTGTAGATAGCATAAACCAACAAATATGCCTCCCTTAACACGCTGTGATGTAGTGCATTGCGTTAGGGATTCTTGCCTTTGGGTTATATGTATATGGAATTTCTGACTAAGTACCATGTTTCCTGTTACTTGTATTGTTTGAAGATTTCAAGCCTAGTCCAAGAAGCACTGTTACAGTTACAGCTTGTCCGAATTGTGAACCGCGACAATATGGCATTGAGGCTGCTTGCAATCCTGGTCTTCGTTGGACTGGCTATTCTCATCACAGAACTGCAGGCCATGAAATATGCACGTAAGCAACGATGCCTCAACTATTTCTTGTCTGATACATGTACACGTAGTTTTGTATGCAGGGCTCATGAATCTTAAGTATCCACTACTCGTAGCTTTCTCTTGTGCACCTGAAGACAAAGTATATGAATGATCTCAATGTAAGCAGGAGAAGGACGAGATGTTATGTGTTATGACTAACTGTTCCCCACCATAATTAAATTGGCTCACCATCCGAGTTTATCAATGAAAACATGCTTTTGATTTCAAGTGGCTTTTCTGTACATCAATGCAGCACTGTTTGGTGGTAAAAAGTTGTGTTGTATTGGTTTATGTCGACTTCGCAGTCGACGCTTGTTCTAATCCCTTGCCAATCCAATGCCGTCATCAAAGATAAGGCCAGTCCGTCGGCTTGTGGTGCTTCCCTTGGTTTTAATGTGCATGTACTTTGTGTTGTCATCTTTGGTGTTGCATTCTTCGTAATTTTCGCCATGATCAATGTCGTTATTGCTATTGCCTGTTCGCGCCGGCCCGTGATTTTGGTGTTCATCCTGTCGCCGCTCAGTGATTCTTTATCCCATCGCAACGAAAGATGAGCTCAAAACCTTTCCAACGGTGTATTGATTGTCGCGATGCGGTTAGGTTTCACAGAGTTACGATAGTTTGTACACTGGTTTATGCACTGAACAAAAAAATTCGTGTTCGCTCCGGCCCGTGATTTTGGTGTTCATCATGTCGCCGCTCAGTGATTCTTTATCCCATCGCGACGAACGTTATAACCACGGAAAGATGAGCTCAAGACCTTTCCAACGGTGTATTGATTGTCGCGATGCGTTTATGTTTCACAGAGTCACGATAGTTTGTACACTGGTCTATGCACTGCAATGTAACGTGCGCACTACGAGGACGAGATATCTCGTCCTTGGCCAATCGCGTGGGGGTCTGTAGGACGAGTTATCTCGTCCTTGGCACTGAAAGTGTTAATGGTGTTGAGTCCATGAATCAACACGCATGCCCCTGACTGGTGGTTACGCCATGCATTTCTACCTGCTGTCTTTTTCAAACGTGCACAATCGACTCCATTAAAACATTCCATTATTATTGTGTTTCTACAGTGTATTTCAACTGTAACAACGCTGCTGGGGATTACTTGATCAGCTCACAGGACTGGTCGCGTGTGAACAGCAAGGCAGCTGCTAGCAATATATGCACAAATACAAGGAACAAATATCCGATTGTTAGTACATCTGGAAAAGAACTGTGTGTTTCAATGTATTTGAGCCACATCAACAGCAGGCTTCAGACCAATCTTGGAGCATACAGTTCCACGGGATGCACTCCAAACTCTTCACTGTGTTCGACTTCGGCCATAGTTATCTGCCAATCATCTCGTTATGAAGCAAGTACGGCCAGAGTGTTTTTTTAAATTGCTAGATCTTCTCCCTTTTTAAGTTACTCTCAGCGTCATCAAGTCAGAAAGGATTGCAGGGAATAGGTTTTTTCATCAAATTGTTCAACAGTTCCATAATGAGCTTGCATCGGCCAGGAACGACATGAAATAGATTCATACTAAAGAATTTGCACACCATGGCACCCCGCAACCCACGCGTATGTGCCTTTAAAACTATTATATCAGTATCATTACCCCCCCCCCCCCCCCCCCCCGCCCCCAATCCCACATTCTCGATATAACCTGCTATGCAATGTGCAAACAAGTCCTGAAACTAAGGTAGGATAATTATAGCTAAGTTACATGTTAAGATGGCAATGAACAGAATCAGCTGAAGCGAAATGTAACGAAGGTTTTATTGAAATGTACGGTTTTGATGGACATAAAAGTAACTATATCTGGCCGTGCTCGGCCAGAATTGTGTCATAAGTGTTGTTTTATACTTGAATTTTATCCACTTGGAATGTTCGATTGTTACCTTTGACGCACATGGTATCGTTCAAGAATACCTTGTGATACTTTTTTTGACATTGTTTAGGTGTTATAATGTCATTATTGATCCTTTATAGTGGTATGTGTTTCAATTTGTAAATTAGTACAACGAAGCTTCCTGATGAGCGGTGTGCGAAAGCTAGTTCGATAAATGCCTTATTCTGTTCATTGCCATCTTAAAAATTGTTGTCACCTCGCCGCCTGTAAAAAATAGTTACATGTGTTATTTTTTTCAGGAATCGGCGGCAAGCAATGTCTGAAGAACTTGACGCTGAGTAACGGACTAGTCACATATCCATCTGGCGTCATCTTTCCCTCTCAAGCCCTGTATGACTGTAATGCGGGCTATAGGAATACTGGTGCAAGCTACGGTGACTGTAACACACTGGGCAATTGGGATAAAGCCAAAGGAAATTGCCAAGGTAAGATGTAAAATCTTTCAATTCGTATGTGAGAAGGTTGGTTGTTCTGCACTATCTCATGCCTGTACCAGTATAATAATTACACAACGCCCACCACCAGACCACTACTGCATTGGCGTCCAGTTCTAGTAGAATGCACTCCTGTCAGTCGAAAAAATGCTGCGCTTTAGGACACATTTTGATCATCGTATGTGAAATCGCACTGTAAGTTTTGGAACAGCCGCTGTGCCCTGTATTCGATTCGTGTGAGAAAGGTGATGTAATTACCTAATCATCAATCACCCAAAACGCAATGTTAATATGCACATGAAAACGCTTTTTTGTTATTGGGCAACTTGCGCGTTAGAATCGGCGAAGTAAAGTAAACAACAAGAACAAAACAAGAACATTAGATAAGTACTTCGAAGTACAGGTCTACTCTCCATATAACGTAGTAGTAGTAGAAGAATTTATTATTTTACTAGGGAACTCCCAACAGGCGTTGCCTTTTTACTGGAAACCCTAGGAATGACTTGGTGCTTGTGACAAATGCAGAAAGGGGCTTAGCTTGACGACATCCAGGTGGAAGCATGTTCCATCTGTCTGCTGCCAAAAATGAAATAGCATTCACGCCATAACGAGACGTAGCTCTGGGTAGGTTCAGAGCAGCTGAAGCTTGACCGCGGGTAGCAGCATTTGTCAAGCTTAATCTCTGGGATCACGCAAAAACTATGTTATATCGAGAGTTATGTTATGTAGAAACCCGTATGTAAAATACAAGATGTACCTCAAAATGAAGGGTATTACAAGGCAGGTCTAGCCATGCAAACAATATACACACTGTACCACCATCGACACCAGATACCATCAATGCCGCAGAATACATGCACAATAGGACTAAACTGGCTAGCTACGCTTGATCTTACCGCGCACATGATTCTACGTTGTATCGAGAGTGCGCACGTCTGGGACCGCGCCGTAGCGTGTGTTATGTCGAGGTTTATGTTATGTAGGATTATGTTGAGTAGAACAAAATTAGTATAGGAGTGATGCCGTTTCGGCGCAGGATTTGATTTTTTTACTTACTAGCGAGGTTTATGTACAAGTGAGAGTTGTTATATCGAGAGCAGACCTGTAGTAGTATGTCGACCACGATAATGGCAAGACCATTGGACAATATGGTCAAACCATGATTCAAGAACGCAAAGCAACATTCCACACAAGTTGTGTGGCTCAGAAGATGCGAAGATCAATAAAAGGGAAGCTATGCGAACAAAAATCATGAAAAACCGAACGCCTCAACGAGAGAGCTTGGAAGCTCAGGGCCCTACGCTATGCTTTTTTGCCTTGATGACCTAGACAAAAAAAGCATAGGAATGTTAAAAATTCTTACAAAAATTCCCTTTTTTTAAAGACATAACCTGGGATTCGAACCCGCACTATCGCGCGCCCTGCATGCATCCCCCGATACACTTCGCATACATACTAATTCTTCCAAGTTGCTTCACATTGGGATCTTGCATTTGAAAGTCCTACTAGTATTTGAATATGCATTGTGGCCAGCCGTCTTTGATGGCACGGTAGGGGATAGGTACGGGACAGGTACGATCGAGGGTAATACGACACCGTCTCCCGTACCGTACCGTACCATCAAACACAGCTGGCCACATACAGCTGCCCGCAATATTCAAATAGGGCTTTCGAGCGCAAGATCATAACGTGAAGCAACTTGGAAGAACGGGTAGGAATGCGAAGTGTATGGGGGAATGCATGTAGGGCGATAGTGCGGGTTCGAATCCCAGCATATGCCTGAAAAAATAGGAGAATTGAAAAATTATAACGTCCCTATGCCTTTTTGCCGTCAGATACGGATAGCGCCAGGCGTGACACAAACAAACAATCACACAAATACCAAACGAGAGAGCTTGGAAGCTCAGGGCCCTGCGCTATGCTTTTATGCTTTTTTGCCTAGCTCATCGTACATGTTATAAGAACTGATGGGAATGTCTTTTTCGTTGATTGGCCACATCACTGTATTGCAAAAACGTTTCAATCGGTTTGCTTATGAGTTAGGCAAAAGCATTTGCAGAATTTATTGCGGATTGTTATTTCTCTAATAATCATCTACTTTTGTTTTGCTCCTTCTTTTCTTTTTATCTCCTTATATTGTAAATCAACAAATTTTGGCCGATGAGAAATAGAAACCTCTCTATTAGAGAGGTTAAGATGCACGTTATTTCCGACGTGACGCGCAGTTTCACGTCAAATTTGAAATCGATCGGTATTTTTGCTCTCACATGCATCCATTGCTCAATCATGCATCATTTGCCTATATGACAAACGTTGGCCTGCGATTTACTTTGGCCGGTTGGTACCAAGCAGCGAAATCAGCGAAATTAAATCGCTAGCGAACATTAGTTGATTTTAATACAGTGATCGGATTTTCTGGCCTTTTTGTAGTAATACATGTGCATTGACCTGTTGAGCCAATGACGACGCCGAATGCATGGTTGCCTGTGGAGCACATCACATAACTTTACAGTCTCCTAAAATACGTATCCTGTTCGACGGCAAAAGAGGCTGCAGATTTAGTTTTTCTGCGCGTCGACGGGATGTCTGCGACGCGAAAGTTCAGCTCGCGTTATTTGGCTCGCACGTCGAAAAATCAACGCGAGTGACCTGCTGCTCACGTCGAAATTTGGACATTACATAAATTCACAGTCTCCTATATAAAACGTATCCTGTTCGACGGCAAAAGAGGCTGCAGATTTAGTTTTTCTGCGCGTCGACGGGATGTCTGTCCTGACGTTTACTGGGACCGGCGCTGACTCTGCCGATCACGGACGTTCTGGACTCGACGAGATGTCTGTCCTGACGTTTCCTGGGATCGGCTTAGACTCTGCCGATCACGGGCGTTCTGGACTCAAAGGGATGTCTGTCCTGACGTTGCCTGGTACCGCCGGACTCTACCGATCACGGGCGTTCTGGAGTCGACGGGATCTCTCTTCCGACGTTTCCTGTGACCGGCACTGAATCGCTCGTTCACGCTTATTTTGGAGACGACGGGATCTCTCTTCCAAAGTATGTTTATGCTGACGCATCCTATCACCTAATCGGCGTCTATTCTAATTTAATTTCCTCTTCGTCTCCCTATTTCTTTCCAAATCTCCCTCTACATCAGGGAGTTGTATCCATAATACGACGAATATTGGTACGGTACGGGACAGATACAGGAGCCCGCAAATATTGTGGACAGCTGTTATGTACAATCCTGTAGAGCCTTTGTAGTCACAGATACGGGACAGATACGGGACAGATACGGGATAGCTCCAGCCGTGACACAAACAAACAAACAAACAAACAAACACCAAATTAAAGCTGTGTGGACCCTGGCTAGCGCCAGACGTTACTGAAGTAACGTCTTCTGCATAGCTACGGGAATTAAAGCTGTGTGGACCCTGGCTAGCGCCAGACGTTACTGAAGTAACGCCTTCGGCATAGCTACGGGAATTAATCAGCACTGTACTTCTACTTTGACACTTAAAAAATTTGACACTTTAGATGGACATTAAGCAGCGGTAACAAGCAGCAGTTTCACACGACAATCGTTTCGCCGTATTGATAAAGAAGGCTCATCAAGTGTGCAGTAATGGACTTGGATGGAGGGCCAATGATTGATTTATACAAAAGAGAAAGACCAAGGAACTACAAGTTACGTATACTGTCCACAAACACCACGAGTTACTAGTTACTAAACAATCAGCACATCCGATAAACACTGCACGACACTGACCGACGGTTTTAACGTTCTGCAACTAACTGGCTAACAGCTCTAGCACATCGTTTGCCAGCTAGCTATAGAATGTCAGTACCATTGACATACTACTACAGGTCTGCTCTCGATATAACAACTCTCACTTTTACATAAACCTCGCTAGTAAGTAAAAAATCAAATCCTGCGCCGAAACGGCATCACTCCTATACTAATTTTGTTCTACACCACATAATTCTACATAACATAAACCTCGACATAACACACGCTACGGCGCGGCCCCCGACGTGCGCACTCTCGATTAGTGCCGTGCAATGTAATCGCATGAGCGGTTTGTTTAGTAACTGGTGGTGTTAGTGGATAGTACAGCGTAACTTGTAGTTCCTGGGTCCTTTCTCTTTTGTACAAAAACGCCTAGTTTCTATTCTGCATTTCAATTATATTATGGAATATTGTCTCGGTATGACCTGAATCCCATCCTATCGAGGCCTTCTCTCTTCTACAACTGGTAATATTTACATCACAACCTTTCACTACGTTTTCAAAAGTCAAGCTAACACGTACTGAGTGCCCTACATAAATAATTATCATTATTTTCTTCTCCCAGCGCTAAATTGCCAAGCACCAGGAATCCTAAATGGCCAAATGATGGGAGCGCCGCCAATGTTCCAACCGGTTTGCTTTGATGGTTTTACCCGGGTTGGACCAGACATGGTCTATTGTTCAAGGGACACGAACACAACCCAACTTCCGAACTGCACAGGTAAGTTCTGAAAACGATAAGTTCACTTCGACTCTATACACATGTACACATAATAGTAACACACATACTTGCGCCCATGCCTAATCGCAACAACTCAGAGGACACTTTGAATCCAGTATTGTACGGGCAGCAAGCCGATATACCAGTCAACCGACGGGAGGAACTGAATCATAGCAGCCTACGTGAGTGACTGGTTTTTATTGTATTCAATTTATCTTACATTGCAGGCAACTGAAATCCGACCCGCTGAGCACATTCTAACGGTCTCAATTTCGTAGTTTTATGATCCCATGTTCGGTCATTGCGTTGTGAGCGCACAGCTCAGTGGTCGGATTTCAGGTGCCAGCAGTGTACTTCGGTTGATCAACAGTACAATGCACTGCCCGAAAACCCGATCACAAGGAGATGAAATGGATAAAAGAAGGTTGTGTGTAGGCTTTCTTTTACAGGTGGTGGTCTTGTTCAAATTATGTTTTACCCTGTCTTTTGGCGTTTCTCTATGTTTTAAGATATCTGCCCTCCGACTGCGGGCCACTGATATATCCATGAAAACGTTAAATTTAGTTTTGAATTTTAAACTGCTTAAAACCAGCCTGTAGTCTACTTGTAGACAAGTACCTCACCATTTACACGCTCTGTCCTATAAATTATTGCGCACACTATCAATTTTCATGATCGTGTCTGTGTGTGCCTTCAGCATATTCCGGGAAGTGTGCTGCTTCGACTCTTGATAATGGGTACATAAAAGAAGGGGGTGACGGGCTGGCAGTTCGAGAGCTTTTCTGCAATGCCGGCTATCGACTTCACACTTCAGCCAACTACACCTGTGTTTCCGCAACGATATCAAAAAGGATTGTTTCGTGTAAAAGTAAGTTCTAACTATGAGGAACGTACATTTTTGTTGTTGTTTTATACTTTATTTATACTGGAAATCAAAACGAGGCATAATGCCTTTAAAAACACTGGACCCACTGTTTTTACTATCGTAAAGTTGTAAGTTCATCGCTAGTTGGTGCAAGACCATAATAGAAAGACTGGGGATGTGTTTCAAGTAGTAAGTGGTGTAGGCTGGAATGGCACTTACGCCAAACCGAGTTAGCTAATATATTTCTCTCCTTTCCTTTCAACTACCTTTACTGCTTGGTGTTTGCTTCTGTTTAGTATATAGTGCTAATAATTTAAGCCGATTCGAATAATACCACCCCCACAAGTTAATAGGTATCTGACAATAAAACCTTCAATGCTGCCAGACAATTCCATGACATGAATGTTGCAGTTCTCCACGATCCCATCGAAGTGCTATCTTACATATGACTAATAGTTTTCATTCATTTTTCGACATCACTAATGAAATAATTTTATCCAGCGCATGCGCCAAGAGTAAATTGCAAATAAATAGAGCGGTTGTCAGTTGACAAACCCCTTTATTAAATTGTACAAAGCAGTTGCGCGATGTCTACCACTTTCTTAAAGAGTTTTCATTCAAACTATGTAAACGGAGAATTTAAAAAAATGCCAAGACCAGAATTAAACTTGTGCTCATTTCAAACAACAGATTGCAAAAGATTAGATCCAGATCATTTTCCTTGTCACATTGAATTGTTTTCTTCATTCTTTACAGAACTCGTGTGCAATTCATCGACAGTTGTCATTGAAAATGGGCATCTTCTACCAGCTGAAGGTGTCATCAACGAACAAGCTAGGGTTTTATGCAATAAGGGTTTCTCTATGGCTGGCTCTGGTATAGCCACCTGTGAGGTGTCTGGCACTTGGAAGAGTAACTCCACATGCAAAGGTAAGCTCAAAGTGAAACATATCCAACGAAACACAGACGCGAGCATGTATACACATACACTGCTGACATACATCTATATACACGCACAAGCATACAGCATAGAACGAGAGCGATTATATCGCCGATTTTATAAGTTTGACGGAAAGTTGTAAAAGGAGACCGATTTCCGGAAGACTAAATTCGGGTAACCATATTAAGGCATCCTCCGTCAGGGGATCAGGTTGCAGGAGCGGTGGCAGATGTTGCGGTTTTGTTCGGCTACTTCCCTCTCCCAAGCACACACACACACACACACACACACACACACACACACACACACACACACACATACAAACGCACACACACACACACACACACACTCTCAAAATCATAACTGTAACACAATCCTTCTTTCTCCATCTGCATAAACCTACTACACTACAGGTGATTCATGCGCTGCTCCCACCATACCGAACAGCAACATATCAGGAATACAAGCTACAACAGGTGAATTGCACTATGTTGGCTGCGAAGATGGCTACAATTTGGAAGGCAACGCAACAATCGAGTGCAGCGCTCCAGACTTGTGGACACCTTTTCCACATTGTACACGTAAGTGCCCTTTATCTGTTTCCTTTGATAACCAGAATACATTCTTGTGTTGTTTCTACACTCTCGTCACCTACCCTTGTAAGAGACGTGACAGCGGCTTTCCGCCTGTTCTTCACTCATTCAAAATTCTCTCCTACATTCGCTTAGTAAGCGGACAGTCTTTCTATCTTATTAACACCAGTATCATGAGTGCAACTCCGAGTTTTTCTGGATATATTCAAAAAGCGTTGTCAGCCAATCAGCTGTTTTAAGCATACAGGTTCTCGTTGTGAAAGGAGTAAAATCCCATAATGTCCAAAACGTGCGAATAGCGCCAGTCCATGCAGTGAATAACTAATGGAAATAACCGCAAAAACTAAGCAACGCGAATCCACAATGCGAGGTAACAGAAGAGCTAACATGCAGTGAATAGGTGTGTTAAAGATGAAACTGATAATTGGCTGCCCGCCAGGCATCTGACATAAAGATGACAGCCTAGAAAGCGGCTGTAGGTGAGGCGCCGTGAGCATGTGGAATAAAGCCAGGAAGGCTGGATCAACTCCCGGTATGCCCCCACTTCAGCGAAACCCTTAACCCCTTGGCTCTTTCCAACGCGCTCACGATCGCGAACCCCAACCTCCACCACACTCACATGGAACAATCTCATCTGAGCGCAGGCTCATTTTAGCATGATCCCTATGTAAAGCACACAAAGTGACAAAACTCATTTCGACGTAATTCAAAATTAATACAGATTTTCACATTTCAATGCATTAAATTATGTCCAACACCAAAAAGGAATTCCCTTGGCGTAGCGTCGCCTTCATTGAGCCAGCGTTGTAAGGTTTCAATGTGGGCGTTTAGTTCCTTATATTTGCGAAGGACTCGATGGGTTTGCTGGCCTGCTGCTATTTGTTGGAGCAACGTTTGCGTCGTGGCCTGCTCCTTTTGCAGCGCCTCTAGGAGACGCCACAAATTTGGATGAAACTAAATTACTTGCCGACAACTGCCGCGAATCGATTGTGCCATCCCTCGACATGATTGTTTGTCCTTCTCTCCCACAACGGTAAAGGGTCGTGTCTAGCTAGTGAAAGGCGGGAAAACGGGGGCATTTTTGCCTGCCCAGTTAATGGATTCTTGCTCGTAAATAGTCCTCACGCTGGTCGTTTCAGCACGTACTCTTGCATTCGCCTAAATATCCTGTCCATTACACGGTGGAGAAACAAGGGTGCATTTGAAGTGAGCCGAATCTGAATCCAAATCTGTGCTGTAGTAGGTATCGCACTTAAATGGTTGCGCTGAGTTGAGATTGCGCTGAGGTGAGATTCGATAGGTAAAAGTGGCGCTGGCATGAGGGCGGTGAAATGTACAGCAGCGGAAATGAATGGCGCTGAAATGGGTGACAATCCAACTCCCGACAGAGACAAGATATCCTTCCGCCGCTGTGCCAGAGTGGATGAGCCCATTAGCATGTGAGGAGCTGGGGTTGCCAAGCCAGTAGTAGAATGCTGATTGATCTGGTTTCAATCGAAACTTGGCTGTCCTGGCTATAAACTCTCGAGCTTAATCAACTACATTTTGAGGCACGCTAGACCACCTAGTATTAGTAGTGGCTTTTGAACGAAGAATGAGTTTGGGCTTCCGGACCTCTGAGACTTAGCAGCAGAGGTCTTGAAGTCCAAACTCTTTCTTTCACATTTGTGCATCGAGCACTCTGACTCGAGCACTCTGCTTTAAGCTGCCTTGACCAATCTATAATCAATACGCGTGTATGTACTACGGAAATAGGTACTTTCAGTAATTGACGTATTAATAAGGGTTCTGTCTCACACCTCACAACAGCCATATCTGGTGCAGGATTGACCGCGGGAAGCAATATTGCAAATTCTACACCAGCACTAGGCATCTGGGCTCGCTGGTGGATAATTCACTAGTGAACGCCGCTGTCTGATGATTGATGAAAACCATAAACATTAGTCACATCTTCACAACTGTTAGCATTGCAAAGTTTCTGTGTACTGCCTTTCACGTTTGTGCACTGAGCGCGAGCACTCTGTTTAAAGCTGCCATGACCAACCTGTAAGCGATACGCGTATATGTACTACGGAAACAAATACTTCGAGTAATTGTGATAATAGTAAGGGCACCAACGATTCCAGAAATAGCACGCTGACCTTTGTGGTGACAGTTCAGACTTTGAGGTTCACCAGAGGACTGGGAGTAGCCACCCAAGACGCTGCTGGCACATTCTCTCCGTATACTCTCTGGAAGCTCTGTTGCGCAGAGTAGTTGATCCAAGGTCTATACTAAGCACACCATTTGCCTAAATATAACAAAAGGGGAGGTTATAGGTGTAGAGGAAATATAGAAAAAACGGCCAGACTCAGACTCCCTCGATTCAGGCTAAGGGAATCAGTAAAGAAAGTCATATACAACACAATTTAATTGCCCATGTTTATTGTACTTCTGGAACACTACTTCAAAAAGAAGTACCATTTTCTTACTCGAATATTCCTGACTATAGTTTTCGTTGTTCTTTCAGCTGTGACGTGCGGTGCTCTACCCACAGTCCCCCATGGATCAGTGATTGTTGGGCACACCGAAGCAACGGCTGGTACGTTTGCCACGGTTATATGTGATCCCAAGTACGAGCTTCACGGAAACCGAACCCTGGTGTGCGAGAAGAATGGATCTTGGGCGACCAATGGTCAAACGTGCAACGGTAAATTCTATAATGGATTTCCCACTATTTGCCATTAGCTAAAAAGACATGTAATGAAAGAAAATGCAGGAAGGCCCGAATAAGAGTTCAAAGAATAGACACAATATGCCTTGAAATAGGGTTGGAAAACTTGGGATGCTGCAATTTTCACAGGAGGTTGCATCCTGTGCCACGCTTGGAATGAGTGTCAGCTTTTCGTACCGGAGTTTTTCTGACCTCCCGAACCTTGTTTTGTGTTTAGTGAACGGTTTGGGATATATTTTCAAATTTTGCTCCTCGGCTTTGAGCACTCTCAGTAGGCTGCTCTAGTGCTGCTGCATCGCGCAATGCCCGCTACTTTTTGTAGTTTGAGCACTCTGGCGCTAGAGCGACGAGCTATCTTAATGTCTGTGGTGCCTCCTTTGCACCATGGCTGGTATATCGGCCTATTTAGCTCGTAGCTGTACTGATGAGGCCTTTATGGCCGAAACAGCTTGCTGTCTACAGTATTGGGTATTTTCAAATTTAAATGGCCGCAAAACCCGCAATCAACCAATTCAAATTTCAGGTGGGACCTTCGGAATAGACTTTGGAAAATGCTGAATGATTTTATCATGAAAGTTTGAAAACGTTCTCGCAGCCGAGTATTAGCAGGATTGCGTACTTAGTGTGTGTCTATCACCCCTCCCCTGCCAGTGCAATATTATCAAAATGTTGTATGTCTTCTGTTGTGCTTTCCAGAAACAACATCTTCAACTGTTTCGAACCCATATTGCCAAGCAACTACTGAGAGTGTGTATATCGGAATAATGGGGGCGCTTGGTGCTCTGCTGGTCATTCTGCTCGTTGTCGTTGTCTGTCTGACGGCGTGTTCTCGCAACGCCGGTCAAGCTACAATATCTGGAGACTCCGGAACTTCACTGGAGAATCTCGGCAGAACAAAAGTTGAAGTCAACGCGCCAGGTTCGGCCAAAAATCTTCCAGCAGATCAAGACCGTGAGTATGGAACAATAGGTGACTCTTGCAGTGCAGAAGCCAGTCATGATGATGAGCACCTGGGAGAAGCGGAAACTAATCCTCAGTTATATTCCAACCACAGCGCCATCAACACCACCCAGATCACTCCTAAGGAATCGTTGACAGCGCCAGAAATTCCACGCTTCCAAGCCGCGAGCCACGACGTGGATGTGTACACTAACGTCGGTAGCCCAGCTGCAAAAACATCTGCCGACTTTCTCGTTCAGCACGATGACGTTAACGCCTACTTGTACGCGGCAGTGAAGACCACCAAGCCAGCTCCCACGGATTCAGACATCTTGGATGATATTGATGCTATCCAGTTTCCTGAACCACAGAAACCCAAAGGGCAATCTCATGGCGCTCGCTCGAAACCAGGAGGTCTTTGAGCTGGTGACTCGCGGCCAAACCCCTGCATGGCGAAGACGAAGAAAATCCGACAATCACCTTATAAATTTTCTTGTCCGTTTTATGAATGCTAAATTGTACACATTTGACTGACTACCGAATAGTCCAATGCACAACCGACGTGTGCCACGCCGTTTCCTCGTTTGCATCTTCTTAACACCAGTGTTGTGTTATTTCTCTACGTCATCCAGGGGTTTAGCCTGCCCTAGGCTCCAGTGGTTCAGGTATGCAAATCAAAAAGTACAAAATCCAAAATGCACACAAAGGTTCATTGCTATAATCCCGAGAAGCACGTGCTTTCAATTTTTTTGTACCATCCCTTTTCTGCATTAGCTTGTGGTAATTTAATCGGGTCAAATTCGAGATAAATGCCGTGGCTAAGCCGATTGTGATACACGCAAGCTATGCAGTCCCTGCTCGCTGCTGCACTCGATCGATTTTTATGGCGTTCGCTTGGTCATACTTGCTCCGTGACGCCCCGACGCCTTAGGGCTATTGGTTTGTGATGATGATGATGATGATGATGAAGCTATGCAATATGTTGCTATCTTCAGCGCTTTGGAGAGGATCGCATTTGTGCTGATCTTTTTTCTGATGTTCTTGTCATAGACCCGCCATCTTTCTTTCACATTGGCCTATCTCTATCTAAATGATCAAAACTGCTGGTTTCGTACGCGTAATGTGTCACATGACTACCCTGATTTCACTGCGTTTCTCACAATGGGAATAAAGCGGTTGTGTTATGCACCCCACTGAACATTGTGCTTTCATGTATACAGGGTGTCATTCTACTCAGTTGCTCAATTTTTATTCTCACGATTTTCCGACCTTTCGTCGACACATTTTTGCAAATCCCTTCAGGTCATCTGTTATGCTTATCCCGTTCTAACATCCCTTAAGGAGACTAGTGTCATCTTACCTACATTATCCAATGTTATTCCAATTTAATCCTCGGACACTGCTACCATTGTTAAAAAGCCATGGCTTGTGTTCCTTATGAAAATTGAATCATGATGAGTAAAATTACTGGTACTTGTACAAACTGGTACACAGTCTGGTCTTCCCGAAGCAACACTCCGCATGCGATTGTGAATTTATTCTCCAGCAAAGGCTTGATTGAGTTTCCATGAATGAAGAAATGAATTTAATGGCCAATCCAATTTCAAGTCCATTTCGGCAGGAATAACACTCCAACATCCCGGCTCGATGCTGCATACCCTTACACTCTCCGAACTCTCTGGCCGTTCTTTACTTTCACCTTAGTATGAACTATCTCCGTAGGGTATTTCGTAAGAGGCACAATCTCCTCTACAGCGACCAAATTACCCAAAAACCCAGCGCACACCATCCCCAAAGCAAGTGGCTGTTCACTTCAATTTATTTTTCTCATCAACGCAATCAGTCACCACGCTTTTACTTATAATCAAATTGCTCTAGCTTCTGTTTTCAACTGTACATGTGCCAGGCGTTACAAGGCATAATGACGTTCTATATGACAGGTTTACCTAAGTAATAATAATACATACTACTGCTACAACTACTACTAGCTACTGGCAATGTAACCGACGCACCTCCATGTTACTTACAGTGGTGAAGTACAGTGATGAAAATACGTCTACATTGGAGAGATCCTTTGAGATACCAATGGGTTTTCACGTTTCCGCAACAGCATAGAACAGGTTAAATGGTTTAAATCTAGCTGGCTTGAGCATGCTTTGTGGGTTGATAGTATTCTACACTATCCTGGCTATGGTTCAATAGCGTAAGGTGCAAAGCTAGTGATTACGCATATTCGATTTAGGGATTTTCTAGTCCCGTAGACAACTCTGTCTGATGCTTCCGGCCGGCATGTATTTACTCACATCCGCTCATGATTGGTAGTGGTGGTTAGGTTAGTTACCACGCAACATGCCATCGGTTTCCACTAGAAGTCTTGATTCCAGGTGTAAGACAGTTCACACTGGTTCAGGTATGGGGAAGGATCCGGGAGCGCTGTCTGCCCAACACTTGTTCTTAGCGGCTTGTCGCAACACATAAAGGGACTGTAGGTTTCTCACGAGCCCGACCAGTAACCACCAAATATCACCGGAAATGGCCAAATATCGGACTTCGCTCGTAGTGGGCTCATTTCATCCCATCGTTGATCTCATTCACCCACTATGACAGTTTGTTCCAGAAAACCTCCATTCCTTTTATATTGAACAAAATCAAAAACCAGTTTTAAAAGAGTAGAGCCCGCACGCTCTCTTCCACTAGCACTGCAATAAATTCAACTCATTTCACAATGATTATTACAACGTTTCGGAAAATTGCCTTCATCAGGTTCACAATGATGTGCAACCTTTCAAACCAGCATTGATAAATTCCATCTCCCCGTCAGTAAAAGCTGGGTGCGAGAAGCAGGGCGATAAGAATTCAGCGCTAATGTCGACTATCAGTGGATGGGACTGCAGCTGAGGAAAAAAAAACACACTATTCAGCGCCGAATGTCATGATAATTAGACAAGAAGCGAGTGGCGATACAAATTGCAGCAATAACCAGCCAGCGTTAGTGTTTATCTTCGGAGCCAAATTTCTGATCTCCAAAACATTCATCAATTTCCTGCTAGCCCTGTCGCCTTCATGGGCAAGGACTGATAGTGCTGTGAACGCGCTATCTCGTAGTCTCAATCTCCTGCGCGAATTCTGGTTTCTCATGTGGTCACACCAAGGCTTATGAGGAGTCCTTCGACGTGCTTCTCCATTATGTTCCTTTAGACGGATCTCTAGTAATTATCTGTCTCTCCAAAGTATTATTCCGTACATCATTTGCAGTCGATTCTGTATGCTACATCAAAACAAAATAAAAATCGAGAAAAAACGAACTGAAACATCTTTAACCAAGGTGCAAGAACGAGGGTTCACTGCTACTCAAGACAACACTGCGCAGCCAAACCAACTATGTTCGCACACCCATCCAAGTTACCTAGTAATGTTTGGTCGTCCAACTTTTGATTTGGTGAGTCCCTCGAACGAATCGATCAATGCAGGCTGTTCAATGGCGTCCATTACGAAAGCGATCGTAAAGCAAAAATAAAAATACACTTCTTTGAGTGACCATACACTATTACTTCTTTGGCTAGGGTGAATAACCCCAACAGGTAATGGTAAAACGGCAATATACAGTGTATACCGAGTGCACAGCACATCATACCCATCGCGAGAATGGAAAGGGAAAATGATGCCCAGGGAAACTAATGACACTCAGAAATGGGTTCAATAGTTGATTTTACCAACACTAGACACATCAGACGCCACAATAATATTACTAATAAGTATATGTTATCGCATGGTTGCAAGGGCCTTATGGCATAGTATTGCCCCGAGAGGTTAGCCCGAGGGCCGTAGGCCCGAGGGCTAACCTCGAGGGGCAATAATATGCCATAAGGCCCGCAGCAACCATGCGATAACGAATTTATCACATGGCCCACAGAGCAGACCATTGGGCTGCTGGTGAAATTGGCCCAAATGCCAACACATTATGACCACAATGTATATTGATGTGCTATCATTATCAAAACAGGAAAAATGAAGATATTTCTCCTACACCCTAACAAAAAGTCTGCTACAGGCCATCAGAGAGTATACAGTACTGAAAGACGGAGACAGAAAAAAAGTGCCGGCACCGCATCGTCACAGCAATAGACATGGCAACGACAATAAATACAGCGGAATCATAATTTCAGTTGAAAAATTAAGAGTGCTACCACAAAGAGTTTCTTCATGTTTACATGTGTATCAGGAAGTTGTCAAATACAGTACTGCAACAAGTGTAAGTATTTGACGACTCCCTGGTGTGTAATTCTGAGGACAATTTTTCTTCTTCTTTTTTCAGCTCTAAATAGCTGTATTTTTCATTGCAAAACATTCCTGAATTGTTGTGTTTGTTGTTCACGCAAAGGTGAAGGCAGAGGACAAATGAGCCTGGTAAGAGTTTTGCGTGGCACATGAAGACCACACACAGGCAGTGACTTTGCGAGGATCTGAAAACGCACGACGCTGAGTTGAATTTGTGTTATTTCAAATAATTGTTTGTGATCACAGTGCCACTTCGAGCAGAACTGAATCTTATCCAAAAGCTTACCGACGGTCAGGCTGCCAACATGACTGAACAAATGATCCCTGCAAGCACCACACGGCAGACGTCCGAGGCCATGTCCATTGCCGGGATGTCCATCTCCAAAAAGAATTCCATCTTCGTCTCAATGCTACACTGTGACTCGTCGTAGAGTCGTACATTCTACAGAGTCGTCGTAGTCACGCGATCGCGCGAGGAAAGCTGAGATCGCCACTTTCGACCACGCGTTCACATGTCACCCTGCGCCGTACAGTCACCACGCCCATGGGCCCACCATGTTCACATCCCGTAGATTTCACGCGTACAGTCTCAGTCAGGGTTGTCACTGACGACGGGCTTTGGACGCGGGCGTTGGACTGATTTATTGCCCGCTCATACAGACCAGAGATTGGCCCGATCCAAGGAAACACTCACGTGACATGTGATAAACCACTTTTTCTCCCGATCGGCCGAAGAGAAATTATGCAATCTGAATCCATTTCGAGGAAGGCTCGAGACACAGCATTTACAAAAGCTACTTGTAGGTGTTTAGCTACTACTTCTACTGTGTAAACGTTGGCAAAAGTGGAGCAATGAAATCTGAAGGCTCCGGTCTGCACTTTGGACAAGAAGGATTGCCTTGAAGCCAGATGGGGTGCTGGCATAATCTGCTGACGACTGCATACATTTCAGAAGACGTCCAGACATCCATTGCGAATCTGAACACTATGCGAAAGCTGGCCTATGGCACACATGTACCTGGACTTACCCAGCTTTACGATTCGGCCATTGCCTTTGAATGACTTGACGCTTCAAAGACCATATCACCGCATAGCGAGAACTTGCGTCAAGAGACCTTTTGCGTACAGCGAACATGTATGCGTAGCACGTATGTTAATATTTTATTATTTATTATTTATTTAATTATTACAGCATCTCATAGCACAGTGAGGACACCGGCCAATACAAAGAGAGAGGGTGTTAGCCAACCACGGCAAGGAAGGGAGAAGGGGAGGAGAAGAAAAAAAAATGTCTTAACCCTTTAAGAGCCGCCCCATACTTGAATGCGTCGTAAACGACGCATTCAAATGCAAAACTTCAAAAGATCGTAACTCAGTCCAATCTCGCTCAAATCCAGTGATCGAAATATCCAGGGCGAAGAGAAAACTCTCACCTGTCGGGAGAAACAATCCGCGAAGCGCTGCGAGCAACGGTTCCTGAGATAAATCACTCGTAAGTTGAGCCGCGATCGCGGCAATTTCAAAAGCGCGCAGTGCGACTTTAGTATTGAGAATTTTGAGACTTTTCGTCACGCTGGTTTACTCGAATTTGCACGGGTTTCACTGTTGATATTGTCAAGAGTACACAGGAAAAAAATTGGAACTCCACGATCGAGTAAAATGAAATATCTGGAGCGGGACGCAATTGGACGCATTTGGGGCATTTTTGTACTGTCGCTGCGATCTAGCGCTGGATAGACGGTGTGCTGGCTATCATGATCGACCTCATTCTCTTCCTCTCGCGGAGACCTTTCCAGGAAGCCCTGGATTGTGAGGATTGAGTGAGTAGAACTGAAGCTATGATCCAAGGAACACGAAAAAATGCAGAATTTTGAAATTTTCCTGTGGCTCCTAAAGGGCTAAGAGAGCATGTCTGAGAAAACCAGAACATATGTGCAAGTCGATCTCTCAGATTTCGCTCAAATTTTGCAAGTAGGTTTGCTTTGGGGTGTAGATCGACATTTTAAAGCCTGCGCAAAATTCTTTTGAAGGGAACCATGAAATTGGTATACCCTCAATATTGGCCCAATATTGGCACGATTTATGGGTCAACAAACGAGCCACGGCACAGCGTACAAGAACAAAACGAACAAAACTCCATCAACCCAATATTACCTCATCTTAGGAGAGTTTTTGGGGTAGCACCACTT